CATGCTATTAAATCACTAAACCCTAAGTCCTTTGACAGATTTTCAATCTATACACAAGACTATGGTTTAGTAAGCATGTAAACAATATATATTAAGATCCAAAAACACCTAAACACTTATAAAATAAACATACAACAACCCCTACCTCAATTTGAGATGAAATATTAAATCCCACCAAAGTGAAACCCTTCCGAATGCGACGCCACTTTTGGGTTTTGTCGGGGACAACAAGGGAAGCAATAAACCTTCAAGAGGTAACACCTAAATCCATACTTGACTTTAAACCTGAACTCGAAAAATGGTCAAAATGAGATTCCAGTTGGTTAGAATCGAAGGCCTTGTCAAGGCCGACATTAAAGCCTGAGACATCACCGAAAAAATCCAAGGGGAAAGGCTTCAAAAGAAGATAAGTAAGGTGGCAGCCTATGGCTGCCGGCCATGGAGGAGAGACAAATCTTTTGTCTTTTTTCCCCTATTTATAGAAAACCTAAAAAGTGACCTGAACGGGTCCCGCTCGGCCTGAAAAAGTAAAATTTGCGCAGACGTGCTCAAACTGTAAAACACTGTGAACGAAAAAAGAACCGTCATGACAAAAAATGAATAACAGAAGAAACGACATCGAAAACCAACTCCCGTGCAGAGAGATATGTCCCAAACAAGTTCGGCGACAACTATGGTCAAAAACCCTAAAACTGGGGAAATCGACCGGAAGACAATTCTAAGAGTATACGACTCGACGAATTGAGAAAATGAATCTTGTACAAAGATCCAAGCCCCAAGGAGACACTTTGCAATTAACTTTCATTAATTACACAAAGGCCCCTACACAAAAGGATAACTACGCAAGTGACCCAACTGAAAATATCTTGCATTAAAACCCAAATCAAAATATCTTCAAAAGATATTTATGAAAAATACCCTAAGAAACGAAAATGTTTTAGAAGAATCTCTTCATCTACGCCCCTTCGGTAAAAAAGAAACAACCAGCGAGCTTTTCTCTAAAAGTAAAGCTATGCATTTCAAGGAAACTAACTAGAATGAAAACATGTGGAGTCAAAAATCAACTCTGAACATGAAGAGTAAGGTTACGCAAGAGAAAAATATCAACGAAAAATAATTAATCCGTGAAAATGAAGAAAAAGGAAAGGAAGGAAAATAACCGGGTCATTACATTTTTTACTCATCTTAATTAACACTATTTTATAATGTTAATGGGCTCACATGTGTTATCATGTGACATCCCCCAACTTCTCACTTGGCCTATATAAGGAGGTGATCCAAGGCCAAGTGGAAGGTAGAGCAAAAAAGGGATGAGGAAATAACTTCTCATGCTTTCTCCATACACCTTCATTAAGGGAGTCAATGATGTACTAATATACACAGTCATCTTCAGCCTCTCTCTCGAGTTTGCCTGTACTTTCACCTCTCTCAGTCCACCTCGAATTCTATTATGTTGTCTAGATTACTCAGATTTGTGTATAATATCACCATTTATATGTATTTTATTGTGTTACGAAAATGAACTCCTACAAAAGATCATATCAAATAACAATCTTTTTTCTATTTGAATATCGAAATATCAACATTTCAAAGTTTGAGATATTTGGATACTCCCTTTAAATATGAAATTCACCAAAGATAAGTCTAAACTTGAAACGAGTCAAAGTTTGCAAATCATTCGGAATTCAAAGTGAAAGCAAGTTTAATTCTAAAAAAAAAAAAAAAAGGAAAGATAATATGCCACTTGGCCTGAGCTCTTTTCGTTTGCCCTATATTTGTAGAGAGAGGGAGAAGGTAGGTATGAACTGGAATTGCGTCAAAGAACAGCCACAGTGGACAATGCAGAAGAGTGGATGCAAGTGTTATCAATATGTACAAACTGCTCTTCGTCAAGTATTTAAGCTTTCAATTTCTTAGGCCTAACCAGTCTAATATCCCTTTGTCAAGTGCCTCTCTACTCAATTATCACTGTGCCTAACAAGTTGCCTCCCCCCTAACACAAAACTTTAGCTTAGCAAATACAATCACTAGAAAGTCTCTTGGCAACATTCCCAACATGGTATTTTTATCATGTGGCTCTCATTCTTCCACAATAATTAAAGTTGACCGGCCACAATTGTATTAGTGATGATGGCTTTGTGAGAGCGACTAACTCCTTTCATGGGTATTTGGCACGGAATCATATTCTTTAAGCAAGTTCTAACACTATTATTTTAAAAGGTATGAGGTGTGGGGACCACTAGAGTCGGATATTTTATCTTTTTTCTTATTTAGAGTTTTGAGATAATGATATTGATTGTAACATATTACAATGATGTGCAATTATTTAAATTCTCGACTTTTAATCTTGAAACAATTATGTTGTCCCCTTAATTTAAAGTGTTATACATGTATACACTACAATGCTGGAACCCAAAAGCAAAAAACAAAAAATACATCACTAGACGGAGATCCATTTCCAACATGCTCAAAATTTTGGATTTGGAATATATGAGTGACAATTTCATCATCAACGTCTTATTACAGTATTTACTTTGATTGCATAAAAAGAATAATATCATCATAAATGTATATACACACACGTATTATAATGATAAAACAAAATTGCATTTAAGTTTCTTTGTTGTGAATGTTTTATGCTTATAGTTGATCTTGAAAAGTGGCAAGAGTTGATAGGTTTATATGCTAAAATGATAAGTATACTTTTGGGATAACACCACCATTCCCTAACATATAGTAATTGAAATAGCCCTAAATATCAAACACTCTCCCAAATCCAATTTAATGTTGTTCGTGTATCTATTAATCATTAAGCAAATACTTCCATTAGTTTGTCTTCTACTTGAGGCTGTTTGGGTGAAGACTAACAAAAACACTAAAACACAACCCATCTTCTTCTTGAAGTTTTGGTTTCCTCCAAAATCTTAATTATTAGATGAAAAACATAAGACAACTTCCTTTATCATAATCAAATATTAAGGATAATGTTTTGTTTTTTTTTTTTTTTAACTCACAACAGTCTAACAGTTTCTTTTCAATATGTGGACAACAAATTGAAGAGATTACAAAAGGTAGTCTTATAAGTAAGGGGAATTTCATATGTGTGATCAGAGATATATTATGTGGCATGACTAATCATAAGTTATATGTTATATGGCATGAAAATTCAATGACCACTCCCTTACCATGATAATAATTGAAGTCAAAAGATTCATTGAAGAAAAAGAAAAAAAATCTAAATGGAAGTATGAATAAATTTCAATAAAAATATCTATTAATTTTATTAATTTTTTGTTTATTAGTTGTTTTTCAAGACCACCCTTTCTCAAATATTTTGTTTTGAAACCGATATCAATGGGGTTGATGTTGCTTATTGGAGTACAATTAAATTGTAGGGTTGGAGTTTCACAGCAAAAGGACCTGGCTTCTTGATTAATTAGCTGAAATACATGGCCCCATTTGTCCCAGCCTTATGGAACTAAATGGAAGGCTCTTCTATACATTGAGGCTATTTGGGAATTTAGTTTAGTATATCGTTTGAATAAAGTTAGAATACTGCATTTCAGATAGAAGTTGAATATTTTGAATAACTTTTTTTATTGTTATTTTTATTTTTTATAAAGACAATTACACCCTTTTCTTAATAAGGTTGTTATTATTAAATTTGGTAATATCATATTAAAGGATATTATTGTAAAATTAGGAATAGAAGTGTTTAAAAAAAATTGTTACTAAATAAATTTAAAAATATTTTAATTATAAAAAGTACTTATTGTGATGTGTTACCAAACACCTAACATACTTTTTACTGACAGTAATTTTTGACAGCTCTTTTGATAAAGTGTTTTTTTTATATTCCAACAGCAACCTCAAACATAATTTTTTTACAGCACTATTGATAAAAAGCTCTTTTTTTAATTCAGTCACCATCCATATAAATATTAAGAAAAGTAAATCAATTTCACTTGAGTTACAAAATGAAGTGCACCTTATGGTTACTGCAGTTTATTCTACCACAAGGGATAAGGATCAAAAACTCCTCCCATTAGTGATGTACGTTACGAAATTATTGTGATATAGACTGAACATCACAACATTTTTGTGGAGTATTGATCTAACTAACTGAAAGGGACATGACACTATTTCGCGAGAGAGGATTTTAGTCCAAGGGACAAAGGGTATTTATCAAGTAACTAGAATCTAACATTGATACGGTGGAGTACAAGGTTTCCATAATTTCTGAGATTACATAAATAAGGATCATAGTTAAAGCTAGTCAAAGACTCCTCTCACTCCCTCATTCTAATCAACCACTCTCTCCCTCTCCTCCTCTTACATAAGAGAATAAACCAATGTGGAGTCTAAGCTGTGTGTGGTAAAAGTGGATGATCACCAATAAAGCATTACCCTCAATAATAATATTTGGCATCTCTTCTTTCATAGCCCAGAAAGCTGCCAAAAGGGCAGCACAGGCCTTAACAACCAAAAGGGAGACAAGGCCCTAATTTTCTCCCCATGTTGCTTGCAAAAGCTGCATCGAATCTCACATCTATGAGGGTACCAAGTCTATCAAAGGGGAATCGAAATCCTCTCAGGGGTCACAATTTTCCGTGGTTCCATCCGGTGGGTGAAGTTTGGATTTTGTTACTATAATGGTGTAAAGTTCACTTCTTTAATTTCATTACTATTTACTTACATGTGAGTTTCACACCATTACAATAATGAAATTCACCATTAATAGTGATGAACTTCACCCACTGAATGGCGCCGGCGAAAATGTAACGGCCCGGCCCCTGACTAATCAAGCTAATATTATGGTGATTGTAAAATGTAAATTACTAAATTCTGACATGCTCTTTCACAGCCTTCAAGGTAGACCTATTGAAACTTCTCTAATAACTTAAGTCTTTTGTATACTAACTACGAGGAGTCACTAACAAATCGGGAGCTACACTGACATTGTTCTAGTGATCTGCAAGAAAATTATAATGAAGGCCATCAAATTCAAATCCATACTTTATAAATTCAGTTATGAACACACCATTCCACTGTTTAATTGAGGTCCAAGACAGAAAATATTTTTAGATATCTATATAATATTCTCTTGGTGTTGTATATTGTGAATTCTGTGCGACTTTGAGCACCGAAAACAACGCGAAAGATACTCCATCGAACTGAGAAAATAACGAAATGCCCGCACCATCAGTCCCTTGCTTTTGGTAACAGAATGACCATCACTGCATTAATGAAACAAGAGGGAAATATTATATTTTTCCATATTTCAATTGTTATTACAAGAATGCAAGTAATAAAACAAAACAGGTGCCTCATGGGTAACATGAGCTTAAATTAATAAGCTTAAAAAGACCATCCGGAATAAAATAAATTAACATGTACAACTAAAATCCTACACAGGTAGTTTAGCTGGCATAAGGCCCAGACATAACCCAAAAGTATTGTGTTCTCCAAACCCCAACACCCAAGAGTCAAATTTTACATGTGGTTTGAGGTATGGATTGTGAGTAGGGATGGAAAAATATCCTGATACGTCGGGTAGCCGCCCCACCCCGCCCCGTTTAGAACGGTTATGGGGAGTGGTTAAATAGTTTTAGGGGCAGGGATGGGGATTAAGATTGAAAACCCGCATAGTTATGGGGCGGGGATGGGGAAAGGTCACTCCACCCCACCCAACCTTGTTTATCGTGACAAATCACAATTTTGACCCTATACTTTATTTTATATTCAATAATTTAGGTATATATTAAGTAAATCCTAGTTTATTTTATTCCAATCACTAAATATTCTTTTGTATTATTCTTATTTGAGAACTTTTATGTATTATTTTGATGTTCCGACAATAATTTTAGTTTTAAGTTTCAATTGAGAAGTTGAATCTTGTTTTTATTCGCATAAGAAAAAAAATTATCATGGTTGAAAATTTGTTTTATTATTTACTTTCGTTAGATTTGCATTACAATTATGAAAATACTCAACAAAACTCACTCCCGCCCCGTCCCCGCTGCGCCCCGTTTGGTAAACTATTTTGGGGCGGGGATGGGGATGGTGTTCCCCGTCCCAAACCGCCCCATTTTCATCCCTAATTGTGGGTGTTCGAAGGGGGTGTAGACACCCTCTGTTTACCAAAGAAAAACATATATAAAAAATAATAATTAACTTTTCCAAAATATGTCTCCTTTCAAGGTCTAACAGGTTACCATATAATTCAAGATGAAAGTTTGACTAAAATAGCATCACAACTCTAATCTCAACTTAAGTAAACAAAGCCTTTTCCCAACTATTTTAATACTCTCTTCATTTTCATTTAAAAAGGATAGAAGTTTGATTTCAACAGCAACTAAAAAAGTTACAGGATGACAGATTGATAATTTAAAAAAATTTATATTCGTCTCCAATCTACAATAAAATGTAAGAGCATCTGTCATCAAACTATCCAGAAATAAATCAATAGGCATGCATTTTCTTTCTAATATAAAAGGCAGTATTCGTCATTGTGGTACTAATAACAATTAAATTCACTAAATATCCTGAAGCTGTGTTTTTTAAAACATCCAATGCTTCCAAAGATATATTTTACATAACAAACAAATAAGCATATTAACATAATCTGCAAAGATAGAAAAAGTATATATAAAAAGAAAGAAGGGTTAGATCAAATCCCTAAATCACAAAAACAAAAAAAAAAAAAAAAATTGATGTGATAGTATGCTGATAATATATATGTGAACATTGTGGAAATAAAATATATGTGAAATCCACAAACATATGTATAAATATATTTAAAGAAAATAATGTGTATTTATATATATCAGTCTTTATAGGTATATATATGTGTGTATATATTAATTAGTGTAAATGGGTGTGTGTGTATATAGAGAGAGGGGAATACAACCGAACTTTGAAGCTCAATCTACAAATTTCTGAAGGAGCCAAGGTATTTTCCTCAATCACAAAAATGGTCGCTCAAATTCAGTAAAAAGAAGCTGCTCAAAGTAACTGCTTCTGGGTGCATCTGCTTTAATTTGCGTCACGCGTTTTCCTTTGAAATTAGGTGGTCAAATACAGAAAAGGTAACTTGTTAACAACATCCTACGAGAAGAAACCACTGACATAGATATATTCTATTTCATGTGGAGCCATGATATTATCTCATCATGTGACTAATAATAAACGGTGTAACAGGTCATGCATTTTCCATTCAACCCAAAATTTATGTTGTGGGTGGTGGTATCACCCTTAAAAGTCCAAGACCCTTCCCATCTATATCCGATATGAGACAAACTCCTGTGACATTTTCCCCACCCGAATCTGCAACACAGGCACTTGAAGTGACCCCGAAAAGAGATTGGGTTGGCTCTGTTACCAACTGTAACAGGTCAGGCGCTTGCCATCCACAACTCAAAATCTCAAGTTGTTAGGTGGTGATGTCTAGCCACTCTTATAAGCCATCCGTATCCGATGTGAGACAACACTTTATGATACACGGGCACATCTTTTGTTATTATAAAATCAGAAAAAAATAAATAAATAAAAGAATGAAGTTGGATCGACCCGAACACATTAATTTAGAAAAAAGGCAAGAATGATGATGACAATGATGGAAGTCGAATAGACCCAACTTCATTTGGGTAAAATGCTTATGTTACAATCATCATACGCCCTCTCGCGAGACTAAAGAGATAGATGGAAAAGTATAGAAAACAATCTCTCTCTCTCTCTCTCTCTCTCCCTCTCTCCCTCCCTCCCTCCCTCCGTGTGTGTGCTCATGCCATATGTCATCATCTTCTTGCTACCTCAACCCAACTTTTTATCCTTTCAATTCATTCCATGGAAAGACCCATGTCCTTTCTTGTTTTTTTTTTTTGTAGTGCTATCAACTTGAACTAAAACACTCCACTCTACTCTTTATTAGGTGCAGATATTGCTCTTCCTTGCACATACTACTAAAGCATTGTAGATGACTTCCCCTCTCATTGCATATACTACTAAAGCTCAAATTTTTAGAACTCACTTCTAAGCATATCTCCATGTTCCTAATTTTATTGATAAGGCTTCCTTAGGAGTAGCCAATAGTACAATGTCATCCACAAGAAACGCACCATGGGGCTGTCTTCTTAAATATCCTTCTCTATTTCATATAAACTATTGTAAATAAATATTGACTTAATATTGAGCCTTGGTGTAATCTTACTTGTACTTTATTTATAAGCAACGTATTAGTTTAATCCTACTTGTATATAGAAATCACTAGTCTCTCCATGTATAGTACAGACACTAGTCCTTATCTTACTATACATATCCTAATAAGATGTATAAGTTTAAAAAGAACTTGGTTTCTTTGTAGAGCCCACCAAATTGTGTCCGTTGGTATTCTATCACATGTCTTCTCTAAGTCTATGAAAACCATGTGTAGATCCTTTTGTTTACTTCTACACTCTTCTATTAATTGTCTTACTAAGTAGATGGCCTTCACAGTGGATCTACCTGGTACAAATCCAAACTGATTATGTGATATTGAAGTTTCTCTTCTATTAATTCTCGTACTAAGTAGAAGACTCATTAATTTAATTCCTCTATAATTTTCACAATCTTATATAATTCTATTTTTTATTATTATTATTATTTTTTTTCACTTATCAAAAAATATATATATCTCTCTTATTTTTATAAAGTGGTACTATGGCACCCATTAACTCATTTGGCATTATTTCTTCTGCACGAATTTTAATTCTGTAAGAATTTTGTTAAATAAATTTGTTAATCATTCAATTCCCTATACTTCCTCAAATTCTCCATACTTCTATAGATATGTTATCATATCCTACTACTTTATTGGCACCAATCATCTTGAGTGCTTTCTCTACTTCCTTAGTAATAATTTTGTTTATCATTCTTATGTAAGGTTCATTATTTATAAATTCTTCTTTAATGTATTCCTCATTTACTAATTTTTTGAATGTAATTTTTCCATCTTGCTAATATGTCATTGTCATTGACTAGTATTGTTGATCAACATCCTTAATACACCTTAACTGAATAACTGATCTATATCTCTAGTCAACCTCGCTCTATTTTCTGCTAACTTGTAAATAACCATTTCACCCTCTTTTGTGTTTAATTTCTCATATAACTCATTTGATGCATTTTGTTTAGCTTTAATTACCATCTTTTTAGCTTTGCTTGTAAGTTTTTGTATTTCTCTATATCATCTTGTTTCTTACCTTTGGTTTCTCCTAAAGTTGTCTTAGCCACCGTCCTTGTACAATTTGTTATGTTTGACCAAAGATTATTTATGTTATCATTCAAATTCAATTGATTTTCTTGTAATTTTTTTACTTTGAATTTTATCAACTTGTCGCCTTTCAATTCATTTCATTTAAGAGTTTGAGCTCTTTTCCTTTCCTTTCAAAACTTAAACCCTTTATTGCTAAGTCCAATATAAGTAGCCAATGTTCATTAGTGAGACTTTCTTCAGGAATTACTTTACAATCTTTAAAGGTATTCCACTCCTCTCTTCTATACAAACAATAGTCTATTTGTGTCTTAAATATGCTTTTGAAAAAATATTAAATGCTCTATTCTCTTTCAAAAAAATGTATTTGTTATTGCTAGCATAAGCTTTTACAACTTCTAAGCGTGTCACCCTGCCTTCATTTCTTTCTCCAAAACCATATCCTCCATGAATTCAAGCATAAGTGTTAAATTTGAGCAGTAAAATGTCATCTTGGCCCTTCATTTTTAATTAAAAAAACCGAATCTAAAATGATCATATTACCCCTACCAATAAAAAAACAGAACCACATCTCTTCACCACCAGCTCCACCATTGCCCCACTCACACCCATACTCTCTATCGCCGCTGCCAACTCCATTCTCTCTCTCTCTCTCTCTCTCTCTCTCTCTCTTCTCCACCAACCAGCACTGCCACTACCACAACAAATCCCACCTACGAAAGGGGTGTGAGAGTAATTTAATATGCCATAGCGGGGAAATTAGCAGGATTTGCTGTTGTGCATACGTGTTCCAGAAATCAAAAGGAGCTCAATGAAAAGTTACAAGAATGGGAAGGTAAGAGATTACAGTGGTTTTGTTGATGACATCATCAAAATCCTTGTAGGTTTTAACATGGTATATGCCTAGCAAAACATATATTGAGTCGGGTTTCTTGCCGCGAACGAATGACTCTGACGTAATAGCAAACACCATCAATGTGCTCTCGTACTGCAAAATTATTTGGCTGGAGAATCTGGCTCTATTTCCGGCCGGCAACAATGCCAGATTGATCGACAGTTCGGGGAGACGCAAACATCTGAAAACGGTCGGCATCGTTCACCTCACGGTAAGAGTTTTAGAGAGAGAGTTTGTTGTAGAGAGAGAGCCAGCAATTATATGATGGTGGTGGCATCGGCCACAACAACGAAGAAGCTGCAGAAGAGGAACCTTGGAGAGTCCGAAGGCTTTGTGAAGAGAACAAATGAGATGAGAGAGAGTGCCAAATGGAGTCCAAGAGACCAAAAGGGTTTGAGTCTTGGCAAATTTAGTATTTTGAAAAAAATTCCTAACCATCTTGACGGCTAGTTAAAAGATGGGAGAATTTGAAATGTCATGTCATACTTCAGGGAAGCGAGTGTAATTAGGCCTCTTTTCGATCACCGTTTGTAATTAGGGCAAACCTCAAGGGTTGTGAGACTAATTTACTCTTTTATTTAAATTTGTGGTAAGGGTATTTTAGACTTTTTAGTATTCCATTCATAGCAAATTGACCGTGTACTTATTTGCACAATTACAAAAATGTAAGGGGTTAATTGAACACTAGGGGGATATTCACACCTTTTTCATATAACAGTCGTTATTTTATTTTTTTTACTACCCATTTTATTATTAAAAGAACAATTTTACATTTATGTGTGTGTGTGTATGAGAGAGAGAGAGAGAGAGACTGAATTATTGGATTAGGGCCAAGAGACAGATAGTGAGGTTACTTCTTTTGAAGTAGGTAAACAAGTGCACATAAACTTACTTCTTTTTAAAACCTTCAATGCTGGGGTTCATCCTTGAATTAGCTGATTCAAGCTTCATTGACAAGAACTACAACATCAGATTTATAAAGCAAACAATCAGCTTCAACAGTTTAAAGGCCAATAACGTTGTAAAATGGCAATAAACATAAGACAAGGGTAGTTACGTCAACCTGACGTTGTAATGACTGGATGTAATTAATTATCTCATCAAGGACAAGTACTTTCCCAATAACCTGAAAAAATGAAAATTAAGTAAATAGAGTACGTAAAAGATTATAGCATCATAAGAAAATTGAAATTAGAGTTCAGGTAAAATACTATTAAATTTTGGACAACTGGATTTCTAATTTCGGACAACAGATGGTAAGTATTTATCAACAATGTAATTTGGGCAAAAACTTCCCTTTGCTTAGATTATAAAGGTCTTATCTGCATAGAAATAAATGAAAGCACTACCATAAGCAAAAATAGCACAACCTTATTACATCCAGGAACCAATTCTATCAGAATCTTCATCCTCTTGTTAATATTTTCTCTCCTGACCTGAGACAAAGCAACAACACGTTTCAAAATTCAGGAGATAAAGGAACAACTAGAAGTTGCAAATTTGAGAGGTTTGAAGAGAATTACTCTCTCTGCCAGACTGTGGGTATCAGTAGCTTGACCCCTTCTTGCTCTCACATGGATATGATCTTCCTTAGGCGGCTCAGAAGGTTTCGTGCTTTGCTCAGCAGGCTTGGTCTCCGTCTCTGAACTTGCTTCCACTGATTTTGATCCACCATTTTCATCTTGGGATCCATATATTTTTTTTCGTTTGTTTACCATTGGAATCATTCTGTCCAGTAATAAACAAGAAACAAATTCAAGTTGGACCCTAGTTCCAAAAAGGTTATGACATATCTCAATTTTCAACGGAAAATCACAAAAAAAAAAAAAAAATTATTAAAAGCAAGGAGTTATGCTCAGATCAAAGGTTGAATATAAATAACAATATCCACTTCAATTTCTAGAAAGGAAAACAATAGAAAATATGATGGTCAAATTGAGCAGAAAAAGGTTTAAATGACATATCAACAACCAACTGAACATAAGAATTAAGAAAAAGTTAAAAGAAACCACATATAAATTACTAAGAAGCAAATGAAAAGTTTCACTAACAGACATATAAATTACCCTAAATATAGCATATATGACAAGGATAGAAACAGCTGAAAAATAAATAAATAAGGAACAGATTAAGGTAAACTGTAACACACACAAATATATCAACAATGCGAAAGGCGATTTTTTTTAATATTAAGAACAAATTAACATTTGCCGCCCAATTTTCCTTGCTATGTATTCAATATATGTATGAAAGAAATACCCTGAATATTAGATTGAGGCCAAAAGACAGATACTTAGGTTATCAATGTTATCAAAGGCCCAAGGCACACTAAGGTGCTAAAGGTCCTTTGAAACCTAGGCGCAAGGCGAGGCGCGCGGTTGAGTGAAGGGAGGTGCACAATTGAAAAAATAAATTAAGGCGCAAGTGTTGTCAAAGGCGCACCTGGGCAGGTGGGCACACAACAGGCGCAAGTGTTGTGCCTGTGTGAGCTTGGAGCCTAGGCGCACGCCTGACAACACTCAGGTTACTTCTTTTGAAGTAGGTAAACAGTCGGTACTCATAGACTTACTTCTTTTGAAGGAAAACTTTCAATACTGGGGTTCATCCTCAAATTAACTGCTACAAGCTTCATTGACAAGAACTATGACATCAGATTTATAAAGCAAATGATCAGCTTCAACAGTAAAAAGGCCAATAATGTTGTAAAAAGCCAATAATCATGGCAAGACAAGGGTAGTTACCTCAACCTGACGCTGTCATGATTGGATGTAATTAATTATCTCATCAAGGACAAGTACTTTCCCAATAACCTGAAAAAATTAAAATTTATGTAAATAGAGTATGGAAAGATTACAGCATCATGAAGAAAATGAAACTAGAGTTTAGGTAAAAAATACTACTAAATTTTGGACAACTGGATTCCTAATTTCGAACAAAGGATATTAAGTATTTCTCAATGATGTAATTTGGGCAGAAACTTTCCTTTGCTTAAATTATAATTAGCGATAGCACTACCAACAGCAAAAATAGCACAACCTTATTACATCCAGGGACCAAATCTTGCAGAATCTTCATCCTCTCGCTAATCTTTTCTCTCCTGACCTGACAAATCAGTAACATGTTTCAAAATTCAGTGGATAAAGGAACAAGTAGAAATTGCAAATTTGAGAGGTTTGAAGACAATTACTCTCTCTGCCAGACTGCAACTATCGGTAGCTTGACCCCTTCTTGCTCTCATATGGATATAATCTTGCTTAGGGGCTCAGAAGGTTCCGTGCTTTGTTCAGATGGCTTGTTCCCCACCCCTGAACTCCCTTCCACTTCAGATTTTGAACCACCATTTTCATCTTGGGATCCATATAGTTTTTTCATTCGTTTACCATTGGAATCAGCAGCTCAGAAAGTTCCGTGCTTTGTTCAGATGGCTTGTTCCCCACCCCTGAACTCCCTTCCACTTCAGATTTTGAACCACCATTTTCATCTTGGGATCCATATAGTTTTTTCATTCGTTTACCATTGGAATCATTCTATCCAAAAACAATAAATAAGAAACCAATTCAAGTTGGACCCAGTTCTAAAAGATTACGACATGTCTCGATTCTCAACAGAAAATCATAAAGAATATAATAGCAAGGAGATCAAAGGTTTGATATAACAATACCCATTTCAATATCTAAATTTGTAAACTAAGTGGAAAACAATCGAGAATATGAGGGTCAAATTCAGCACGAAAGGTCTAAATAAGATATTAACTACCAAATGAACCTAATAATTAAGAAGAACAAAAAAGAAACCACATGGAAATTTACGAAAAAGCAAATGAAAAGTTTCACTAATGTCTTGCCCAAAATTTTCCATCCAGAACCTACTGGAACTTTACGCCCAATATGGAGGCCAGCTGTTGTGAGATGGAGAGAGAAAAAATGAACCTAAAATGCGATAGGGGTGGCTACAGCCTTGAAAATTGGAAGGGTGCGGTAGGGCCAAATGGATGAGATTTTTGGAGTCACCACATAACATTAACATTAAGGTCGCCTATTATGAGGAATTGAAGAGTGTGGGGCCCTAGATGACTACCGTTTGGTCTACTTAACCAAAAGGTTGGATTCGGGGGTTTGATTACGCTTGAGGAAAGGGTTAGGCACCCCAAGACGCCCTTAACAAGTACAGTTACCTATTCTTTGTGCTAAGTTCCATTCCATTACATGATTATATTGTGAAGGATAAGGTACGTGTATGATGGATGGTATGGAGGGGGAGTGATGAAAGAGAGAATGAGGACGGAATGATGAGAATGAAGAGGGACTTGACTGAACTTAGGTTTGCCTAAGCTGCCTACGTATCCCGTTGTTCAGGAAATCAAGTCAAACGTAGTTCGGCATGCTGAGTTTAAGGACCTCCGTCTGCATGAAATGGGATGAATCATAGATGATTCGACTTTAGTTTTAGAGCTTCCCCCCACACAAAGTGAGCTGTGGATAACTCGGATTTTGAGTTTTAGGGTCTCCACCCGCATGAAGAGGGATGAGTTGTAGATAACTCGAATTAGAGTTTTAGGTCCTCCGCCCGCATGATTCGAGTTTAAGGACCTCCGCCCACATGATTCGAGTTTAAGGACATCCATACATGAAGAAAAGGGATTGAGTTGAATGCAACTCCAAATGAGTTTAAGGACCTTTGTCTGCGTAAAATAAGTCGTAGATAACTCGAATTTGAGTTTTAAGGCCTCCACCCGCATGAAGAAAATGAATTTGAGTCGAATGCGAGTCTTTAAGGACCTCCGTCCGTATGACTAAGAGAATGTGCCTTATGTTGGCTCGAATTGACCACGATTTGGGATTAAACGAACCGCATGTGGCTAGGGTTGAATTTCAGGGCCTCCGGCCATGATTTGAGATTAAACGAGCCTTATGTAGCTCAGGTTGAGTTTTAGGGCCTCTGCCCATGATTTGAGATTAAACGAGCCTTATGTCACTCGGGTGGAGTTTTAGGGCCTCCACCCATATGGTGAGGAGATGGTTGCTAAGAGGGTATTTGGTTGGAGTCATTTGATCTCAAACTGAATGTGCTTTCTTCGAAAGAATGTTTCCGAATTGTAGACCGTGATCGCTTAATACACAACCTGGAGTGTTCCCAAAAGGAATGGGCAGGATCATGACAATCCTACTTAGATACCAAGCTCCTTAGACAACGGAGTTGCCTATTTTTGACAGAACCTTCCTTAGACATTGTGATGTAGAGGGAGTAATCGATGGCAACAATGATTCTTTAGTTTAGGATGAAATGGAGATTCATGATTTGGAATTGATTTAGAGTTTGAAGGTGTTTTGGAAAGAATGTTTCTAAATTGTCAATCAAGGTTCCAATAACATACAACCAAGTAAGCTCCCAGGAGAATGGAGGGGTCACATCAGTCCCATTTAAAACCCATAATCCTTGGGCATGTATGCCGTTTGACAGAGCTTTCCTAGACATTTTAATGTCAAATGATTCATTCATTGACAATGATTATTCTTCCTCACCCAATACCTTTAAAATGAGGGATAAAATGAGTCTTGGAATGTGAATGCAAAATGATTATGGATACGATTTTGATTAATTAATGATTTGACAATTAAAATGGAAAAATGTATTTGGAATTGGTACTTTTGGATTAGAGGAAAGGAAAAGGATTTTTGGACTTGAATATGGTCGTTTTCCTAAAGGTAGCTTTTTAGGAGTTGAAAATTACACACTTCAAAAGAAGTGGTTTTTGGTGGTCAAAATGTAATGAAAATAGCCATTTTATTTGAAAAGTGCTTTTGATGTAAAAAATAACCAAAAATACCATTTTGGTAAAAAGAGTGTTTTTGGAGCCAAAATTGGTGAAAATTACCATTTTTTAAAAAACGAGTTTTGAAGCTTCGAAAATGACAAAAATGACCATTTTAGTGAAAACGGTTTTAAAGTGACAAAAATGACCACTTTTGAAGAAAAACGACAATTTTGCTATGATGTCAATTTTGAAGGAGGAAATGGTCGAAAATGACCGGAATGTCAATTTTTGAAAGGAAAAGGTCAAAAATGGCCAAAATGATGATTTTACAAGTAAAAAGGTGTGTGTTTAGTCTATATGCAAAACGATGATGGTTCCGAAAATAAAAAAGCTATCGGCACATCCCGTGATGGAAATTACTTTGGTTAGTTTCCAAAAGATCGTAGAGATCTCACGAGAACCATGTTTTGCGTGTGAAATGCTCATTACTACAACGGTTTGACAAGAATGTCATCTCGTTGAAATAAACACGCGTGTAGCCTTGTACTCGCGTGTGAACGATTTTAATGCAAAAATGGATGAATGAGCACACAATAAGCAAAATATCAAAGGGTTTGCATAGATAGTAAACCTACCAAAATACTACGTTGTTTGACACAAAAGGGTGACCAAGGATGCTCATTTCTACGGTCTTGGTTTTATGAGGTGTGTGGCTTTCGGAAACTGCTCCACCACACACCCGTTTACCTCCTTCGTAGAGACAAGGGTTTCAACACACAAACATGGGCTAGTTTTAAAATACCTCTTTTTACCCCTTTTTTTTCTTGAATACTTCCTTTGTAGAGATTTCTTCTCCTTTTCTTCAAGCCACCTTCTTCTTTGTAGAGATTTGCAAGTTTAGAAGAGGTTTTGGCTCCTCCCTACAGGTGTAGAGAGAGAGAGAAGAAGAAGAAAGTGGTGTAGAAGGTGTAGTAGTGTAGAGATATGTGTGTTTGTGTGTGTATATGAGAGTATATGTGTTTGTGTACATGAGAGTAGATGTGTGTGTGTATATGATTTTATGGGTAGAGAGACAGAGTTTGAGAGAGAGAGAGAGAGAGGGAGAGTTTTAGAGAGAGAGTTACGGAGGGGTTGTGTGCATGTCAAATGGAAGAAAGTGTCTCCTATTTATAGAAAAATAAGGAGTAAATTCGAAATTCTTGGAGGCCAAGAAAGAATCAATGGCTGAAATTCAATTTTGTAAAGTGCAATGAGGTGGACGGTTCAGATTTCGAGGCTGCCAAAAAGTGGGGGTATTGCGCCTCGAGGCGCGGCACCATTGTTCCTCCTTTTTTTCTGCAATTTACAATATTGCCCCCAAACTTCCAAAAATTGCATTTTTGTTATTTTTCTTATTTCTGATCATTTTTGGGACATACATGTGACATCATCTATTTCGTCCCCTGGGACTGGAATTTTGGTCAAGACTGGAACATACCCAATATTATAATGCTATTAAGGTTTTCCAACCTTCTGAACGCAATAGCCATGTCCCTTTGACAATCGGTTTGGAAAGTCAACGTTCAAGTTGACCGTTTGACCCACGCTGAAGGGTTTTGGTCAAAGGTGGGCAGTATTTTTTTTTGATAAGTAAAATCTTATGGATGTTATTGAGGAGCTCCTCCTCCATGTTCATGGAACCAAAACTCTTCAGCTCATCGGTTTGGACACCGGGGCAAAGGTGGGCAATATTACAGTGCTTTTTAGGGTTTTTGGACCTTCTTAGTAGACTGGTGATGTCTGTGGGTGAGTTTGACTGTTGATTTGAAAAGTCAATGTTGGAATTGACCGTTTTGCCCTTCTCTTAGGGTTTGGTCAAACAAGATACCGGATAAGGGTGGAGATCCCGAGGAGGGGCATACCCTAGGGTTTTTGGGTATTCCGAACGATACAATCCATTTGTTGTTTTGACAATCGGATGGAGCGGTTGCTGTGTAAAATCTCAATTTTGCACTTTTTGGGGAATTGATGATCAGGCTCGGGAAAGTGTGTAATGGTCTTGATCTTAGGTGTTTCCTAAGGTTTGGGAGTGCTCTATGTGCAATTGTGAAGTCCGATTTCCAATAAGATGGTCAGATTCTCATTTTTCAATCTTCTGCCCCATGTGAGCCCTACTAATGACTGGACCAGGAGATGGAAACGTCATTGCTTCCCTATGGCTATGATGATTTGTAATGCGAGGAAAGGAGGCCAAACTTTGGATTCTACAACTAATATATAAATGAACCTAAATATAACATTATATGACAAGGATATAAACAGCAATAAAAATAAAAATAGCAAATCAATTACTGAAATTCAATAGAATGAGATAATGAAGGTTAAGAACTTAACAAAAAATCTTAAAACAACATATGGATAAATGTAAAGAAAATATGTATATGTGTGTGTGAATATATATATATGGATACACACATATATATAAGAAAGATTATTGAAAAAACTAAGTGAATTACCAAATGATTGCCACTACTGGTGGAAACAAGCTTCGAAGACTCATCCTCTGAATTCGCATCCCTCGGCTTCCTCCCACCGCCACTGCCACCGCCTCTACTCCCACTCTGCTCCTTCACCGTCGATTCGTCAACAGAAACATCTCGATTCAATGCTGCCTCCCCAAATTCACTCAAATTGCTCATTCTCAAATCTAAACCTCCACTCGGTTCACCGACCCCGCCGTTTCGGTTGATCGGAAACGGCCGAATCCCAGTCAAACTGTACGACGAGGGATTCGCCGCCAGGAACGAAGTTTCAATTATTATCGGAGGAACCATTTTCAAAACTCAAAGATCATTCAAACTTACACATATATATATGATTATATGTACGCAAATTGTAGAAATCCTATCTTTCTTTGGGTTTAAAGGTGTGTTACAGTTACGTAGTGGGGTTAGTGTGTGCAGTTTAGGCTATTATGGAACAGAGGGGGTTCAGTGATAAAGTCGAAAGTGAAGTTAGAGAGACAAACATTGATGGGATGAAACTGTATAATAAGGGAATGAATTAATTACAAATTATCCTCCAATTACTTCTAATATGTCGTCATTTCATCATCCAACGTAACAAAAAAAATTCAAAATACTATTTTTTTTTTGAAGGTTAAAGCAACTGACATATATAAGATGGGGAATCGAACCTAGGCCATTGGCCACAAGCACAGCGCTCTTACCAATTGGGCTGTCGTACCACACCTGACACTGTATGATATTAAGGCCATATTAGGAAAGTAATTTGTAATGTTCTCGCACAGTAACCCATTTGTAATCCAAAACATGTTTGACCCGCCTTGTTCTGTTTCCAGAACAACTCAAGATTTCGGGCCCAAAGTTAAAACACCATTTTGGTGTTCTTGTTTGTTCCAACTTTTTTTTGGGTTACCCAAGGCACTGTAACGGAAGGAACACATTGGCCCAAACCAGTACAGGTATAAAGGAAAGTTACAACAAAATGGTAGGGTTTGTTCTGCGCTCTCGTGCGGCGATTCCACTGTTCGTGTTTAGTTCGTCGGATCTGTTGAGTTTTTGTTCAAATCGGCCACCAAACTTTGCTATTTGACTCTTCTCCTCTTTTCCCACTCTCTTTCCACATCCTGTTTCTCTCTCTATAGTTGCGTTCTTTTGACTACACGGCGCAGATCCGAGGAGTTAGGAAACCCTAGCTCTTCATCAAAACAACACAACAGGAAGCTCTTTTTCTCTATCTACTCCGATCATCACCAATCTATCTCTCTCATCATTCGCAGGTTTGTTCTCTTCTTCTCCAATGTATTCTACAATAACTGTTTCCCATCTATACCTATCTTATTCTGTTCAAATACTTTATTTTTTTTCATTACTGATTTAAGGATCGATCGTAGTATAATTTTATTATGTATACCTATACGTAATGTGATTTGATAATATTGATTTTTTTTTTTTTTTTTTTTTGGTATATTGTGTGATTCTTGTTTGGTGTGGCCCTTTACTGATTACTGACAGATGAAAAAGTGAGGATTAGAAAAGAAAAAAATTGAATCTTTATCGATTTATTTTGTTTTGGGAAACAATAGAATTTACTTGGTTTGCCATTGAATCACTGAAAGTTCATTCTTTTAACCAATGGAATTTGTTAAAATTAGAAGCATACGGATTTTTGTTAAAATGGAATTTGCTTATTCTTCGATCTTATATTTAATTCGATAGTTAGTTTTGAATTGTTCTTAAGTTATAGCTTATACTGATTTTTGTTGATATAGATTTTAATTTTTACATATTCGATTAAAAAAAGTTATGATCAGTTTAATATTTTTGATGCATGTGAGAAAGTTTAGGTTTGATTTGTCTAGTTGATGATTCATGGAACTAATTGGTTAAATTGAGTGATTTCGTTGCCACCAAGCTTTCTTAATTTAGAGAAATCTTTGTGTTTGCTGTGTATAAGCTCATTGGTCTAGCTAAATAAAAATTAGGGCTTTGTTAATGACCCTTTTAACCCATTCTTATTAAAACTATATAATTGGATGGATATCATGATAAGCGCCGAATATTACATATTCAAGCGCCCTTACTTGTATTAGTTAAGTTCATTAGTGGAGTTTAAAGTACAGTTTAACTTTATTTTTGCATTTTTGTCTTCTTTCAGGTCAGTTTCCCCGAATATGGTTATAGAAGCGGTTTTGACAATCTCTTGTTGAAGGAGGTGCGCTGTTGCTGGGAGCCATCTTTTGGACCGAGCCTTTTCAATCGTTGTTTGTGTGGAGTTCGGGGCATAATGATCATAATGGAAATCGCGGCAACGGACTGGCTTGGAGTGGCACGAGAAGTTTTGCTGAAGTGTTACAGCTGCAAGTCTCCGCGGGCGCTCGCCGTTTATACCAGTAGCTTCTCTCGAGCCATGAAAGCCCGCGGGTGCCCGCGGGCGCCCGCGGATCTGCAGATGACATCTTACCTGCTCCGGATTTCAGGCTGATTTTGGTCTCCTATGCAATTTATGTGGTTCTAATTCATCTAGGGTGGTTGGAGGTCGGGATTGGGTGGATGGAGAGTAGATTTTGGGTGGATAAGAAGGGGAAAAGCATGACTTATGATGCATTAAAAATTTTAGCTAAGTTTTAGAAAGAGAAAGTAGTGTTTTTAGAGGGTTTGGAGTGGTAGCTTGCTTGAGCACGAAAATGGATGGTGGATTTGCTTCTTTTTCTTCATTCCTTGTTCATATGGGTAACTAAACTTTCATTTAGGGAGGTGATGAAGTCATCCCTTGTAAGCATGTTCTAGATTAATTTCTATTTTGGGGATAATGATGTATAGTTTTGGTCTTTCCATAATTTAGAGCATATTACTTGTTGTAATGGATTCTAATGTATATTAATGATTGTTTTAAGTTAATTATCTTGTCTTAGATGATTTCTTATCTTAATCATAATGCTTGCATTTTCATGGTGACAATAGAAATAAGGTTGTGGAATGGTTTTAACGGCATGTTGATAGAGAGCCTTGATAATTCATTGTTTAGGTAATCTCTTTGAAGGTTTATGTTTGATTCCTAATTTCATGTGCTTTACCATTTGATTAAGGGCTTGATAATCTTTTGCTTAAGTGAATATGTTTGATACTACACCCTAGTTTAGGTAGTTCAATTATATGAACTTTTGATGGATCATTCTTATTTTTGATTTAATGAACTTCTTGACGATTATATGGTAACCATAGGTTGCTATATAATTCTTGACCATTATATATATTGTTTATCCCCAATTTAGTCTTTTTCTAGCATGTGTAAAGGGTTAGGGTGGATTCATTTCCCTAGTCCTCTATTTTTGAATTTCTTTTCTTTAAAGTTTTTGCAAGTCATTGTTTTATGCATTTTAAATTCCTAAGTTTAGTGACAAACCAACAAACCTCTATTTACACCCTTCATCAAATTAAAGGGGAATTTAAAGACCTTAGTTGCCATAAACTGGCAGTCCCAGTAGTTCGACTTACCCGACCAATAGCTCTGTTTTACAATGATTTGTGCTATTGCAAATGTTGATGTATAATTGTCATACCGATCAATTTTTGGCGCCGTTGCGGAGGACTACAAACGGTTTTGCAACCGAGGTTTTCGGATTACCTTTGGTTTGATTGTTAATATTGTGTCTTGTGAATATTTTCTTGCGTGGTTTTGATCATTGTGACATTTTAAGTATTTGTGAGATTCTAGGTATTCAAGGCTTGCTGAGGGAAGCTAGCAAATTTGTAAGTCTAGACGACTTCAGGTAAGTTTTCGAAGCTCTAGTTTCAAAGTTGTGAATATCTTGCATGTGTTTAGATTAGATTTAGTTAAGTTGTGAAGCCCTTGTCGAGGTTATAAATTGTTCTTTTCAATTGCAAGCATCGGTCCTTATCGTGACCATTTACATTTCTGTCTTGATAATTGAAGAGAACGGGAACATCGTATGTGGAGGTTATGGTGATGCATTGTTGTTTTGATTGTGTTGTGAGTTGTTGATATTTGGCCGTAAATCACTTTCCTTACCGACTCTGAACTCGCCAGTTGACATAAATTCACTTGAAAGGACTCTTAGAAGAAACCTTAGGGAATCTACTAACATAAGAGGAATTGAACTTGAATTTAATACAATGGCTGAAAATGTAGGAAATGTCGGAAATGAGGGAATTAATAATGATAGGGCCGAAATTCCAAAAGTGGTTCCCATGACTCTTAGGGACCATTTCATTCCTATAACTTATGCCTCTCCCTCTTGCATAGTGATGCCAAACATCGAGGTAGCCCAATATGAAATCAAATCTAGCACTATCCAAATGCTTCCATCTTTTCATGGCTTTGAAAATGAGGACCCCTGTAAGCACCTTGATGAATTCCTCGAAATATGTTCTACCATCAAGCTGAGGGGCTTCCCTGACAATGCTCTCCATTTGCATCTCTTCCCATTCTCCTTAAAAGATAGGGCAAAATATTGGTTGAACTCCCTTGCTGCAAATTCCATCACTACATGGGCTCAATTGCAACAAGAATTCTTAAAAAAATATTATCCAGTGAGTAAGACCAATCTAATGAGGCGTTCTATTCTTAGCTTTTCACAGAGTGATGGGGAACAACTCTATGAGACTTGGGAAAGATTGCAAGACCTCCTTAGGAAATGTCCGCACCACCTAATTCCAAATGGCAATTGGTGCAAGCTTTCTATGCTGGTTTGACCGACACCCATAGATTCATGGTTGGCTCATCTTGTGGAGGGATGTTCATGTCTAAAAGTGCGGATGAGGCGTGGACCTTACTAGAGAGTTTGAGTGTGAATTCATTGCAGCACAATTCTCGTAGGGCTCTCAACCAATGCCAAGAACACCAACCCTTGTCAACCGAAGACAATGAGGGAAGAATCATCTCAAGTGGATGCCATAGCTCATAAATTCTATCAATTGATGGCACCACATCTATCTCCTTCCTTGTCTCAAAATTCAGCTAGTGCCGTGTGTGCATTATGCACTAGTCTTTTCCATCTCTCGGAAGATTGTCCCACACCAGAATAATTTCCTAATTCCAATCAAGAACAAGCAAATGCAATGTTCTCAAGGCCCGAAAATAATCCATATTCTAATACTTACAATCCAGGATGGAGAGATCATCCAAATTTCTCATGGAGGCAACAAGACCCACAAAATTCGCAATTTTAAAATCAAGGGCATCAAAATCAGCCCTCTTCTCAATTTCAAAATAGTCCATTTTAGGCCTCGTCAAGCTATTGTCCTTCGTATAATCCAAATGTCTCTAATCAACCTCCTGCGTTCCCAACTGATGAGATTTTGGCTACAAATAAGCAAATGATGGAATCTCTAAACAAGCAAATGATGGAATCCAATAAGCAACTATTGGCATCATTGCAGCCCACTCTCCAAATGGTTCATTCTTACACTCAGTCTATTGCTAAACTTGAGAATCAAGTAAGGCAAATAGCCACTTCAATGAACCAACTCCTTCAAAGAGATAAATGGAAGCTTCCCACTCAACCATTTGAGAATCCTAGAAGGATTCATGTGATTGACGAAACCCCTCCTCCGAGTTGGCCAACTCATGAACAAGTCCAAGCAATCACCACCCTTAGGAGTGGTCGAGTTGTGGACAACAAGGTTGATGGAAGTAACAATGACAAAGTTCTTCCTCCCAAAAATTCAAATCTTCTCTTTTCTATTCCAAAGTTCACTCTAGAAATCCAAAGTCTAATGCTGAAAATTCCAAGTTTGTCAACCCAAATGTGGAGACATCTTACTAGTTTACTCTGTTTCCTCAATATCTCTAAGAGTCGACACATTTTGGGAACAAGAATTGCAAAATTCAAGACATGTGGGAAGTTTTCAAACAAGTAAAGATTAACTTGCCTCTCTTGGATGCTATAAAGCAAATCCTTCCTTATAAAAAATTTCTCAAGGATTTGTGCACTCAAAAGCGCACTTCCAAAAATCATTTGCCAAAGAAGGTGAGATTAACTGAAAATGTGAGTGCAATCATTCAACACAGTACTCCTCCAAAGTATAAGGATCCGGGCGCCCCAACTATCTCGTGTGTCATTGGCGATAACAAGATAAAAAGGGCCCTCCTTGACTTAGGAGCTAGTGTAAATTTGATTATATATTCAGTTTACTTATAGCTTAGTTTAGGGGATTTAAAGCCAACATCCGTGGTCTTGCAGCTTGCCGACAGATCGGTCAAGCACCCACGAGGCATTCTTGAGGATGTCATTATCAAAGTGGACAAATTCTACTTCCCGGTAGATTTTGTGGTTCTTGACACGGAACCGGTCTATGACCCAAAGAAGCATATTCTCGTGATCCTCAGTAGGCCATTTTAGATACGGCTAACACTTCAATTAATTGGCGAACTGGGGTCATGGACATCGCCTTTGGAAATATGCAAGTCAAACTCCATATTTTCCATGCCACTCAATATCCTTCCGAAGAGGATGATTGTTTCCTTATTGATGTGGTCGATGAAGTGGTTGAAGAATCTCTCCCCTTCATTCTAAGCAAAGATCATTTGGAAACTTGCATGTCTCATTTTGACCTCTCGAACTTTGATATTGATCAAGCTATCCAAGAAGTAAATTCATTGCTCGACATAGGTGCTATCATGGATTTTCCTCCTTGGAAGATACCAAAAGAACCACTTCCTCAACTCTCTACTACTCCTCTGATCCCTTCCTTGAAATCTCCACCACAACTTGAGTTAAAGCCGCTCCCGGCCCACCTCAAGTATGTGTTTCTTAGTGTCAATCAAACTCTTCCGGTCATCATTGCATCGAACCTTTTACAAGACCAAGAAAATAGCCTTTTAGCGGTGCTTTAAGAGCACAAAGAAGCTATTGGCTAAGCGGTGGTTGATTTGAAAGGAATCGACTCTTCTATTTGTATGCATCGCATCCATATGGAGGAGGATGCTAAACCTTCTAGAGAGGTGCAGTGCCGGTTGAATCCCAACACGAAGGAAGTGGTTATGAAAGAAGTGATCAAGCTACTAGATACGGGAATCATTTATCCCATCTCTGATAGCAAGTGGGTGAGTCCCACTCAAGTTGTCCCCAAGAAATCCGGCCTCACCGTCATTGAAAATTCCGCGGGTGAGCTCGTGCCACAACGAACCACCACCGGGTGGCGTGTATGCATTGACTACCGGAAACTTAACTCTACCACTAGGAAGGATCATTTTTCACTCCCATTCATTGATCAAATCCTAGAGAGGTTAGTCGGCCAAAGCTTCTATTATTTCCTTGATGGTTATTCCGGCTATAACCAAGTGGCAATTGATCCGCAAGATCAAGAGAAGACCACTTTCACATGCCCCTTCGAACCTTTGCTTATAAACGCATGCCTTTTGGGCTATGCAATGCTCCGGCCACGTTCCAAAGATGCATGATGTCCATATTTTCGGATATGGTTGAAAAATTCTTAGAGGTGTTCACGGACAATTTTTCCATCTTTGGATCCTCCTTTGACTCGTGTCTCCACAATCTATCTCTTGTACTTCAAAGGTGCAAGGAAACAAATCTCATTCTAAGTTGGGAGAAAAGTCACTTTATGGTCCAAGAAGGCATTGTTTTAGGACATGTCATTTCAAAAAGGGGGATTGAGGTTGACAAAGCCAAAATTGAGTTAATCTCTAACCTCCCTCCTCTAAACTCGGTCTGTCAAATCCGTTCCTTCCTTGGACATGCCGGTTTCTATCGTCGCTGTATCAAAGATTTTAGCAAAATCTCTCAACCCTTGTGTAATCTTCTTGCCAAGGACGTTCCGTTCAATTTTAATGAAGCTTGTATGGAAGCTTTCGTGAAACTTCGCACTCTTCTCTCATCCGCCCCAATTATGAAACCACCTAATTGGTCTATTCCATT